GCACCTCTAGCACCAGCAGCTCCAGCACCCCCAGTACCTCCAGCTCTAGCACCTCCAGCACCTCTAGCTCTAGCACCTCCAGTACCTCCAGCTCTAGCACCTCCAGTACTAGTAGCTCCAGTACCTCCAGCACCAGCAGCTCCAGCACCTCCAGTACCAGCAGCTCCAGCACCTCCAGCACCTCCAGCTCCAGCACCTCCAGCACCAGCAGATCCAGCACCTCCAGCAGCGTCAGCACCCCCAGAACCGGCACCCCCAGACTCAGCATCCTCAGAACCGACACCCCCAGACTCAGCACCCCCAGAACCTGCACCCCTAGACTCAGCACCCCTAGAGTCCGCACCCCCAGTGTCACCACCCACAGCACCACCAGAGCCCACAGCGACAGGCTGCGGAGACGGCGAAGACGGCCAAGGTGGAAAACCAGTAGGGGTCTCTAAGCGCGGGGAACGGCGAGTCGTCGCCGTGTCATCAGCCGCGGGGTCACCCCCCTCAGCTGGGCCAGAGGTGTCAGAGAAGACCTCCAAAGGCTCAACAAGGGGGGGTGGGTCGACCTGAGACACACCAGAGGGAGCAGGACCCTGCGGGGGGAGAGGGTCTACCGGAGGGGGACCTGGGACTAGGAAGAAGGGCGGCGGGGAGAGCGGGGAAGACGTGTGCGGGTGGAGACGGTAGAAGCAGACCGACTCGTCAAAGGTGACGTCCTGTGAAGACAGGACCCGGCGCGAGACAGGGTGGTAAAACTGTCAGGGCGGAGCGTCGGTGGGGAAGCGAAGGAAGACGCAGCAGAGAGTGCGAGGGGAGAGCTTGCTTGCGGTGGTATCCCGAACAAGGGAGAGCGCACCCCAGACCTGAACCGCCGACGCATCGCCAACCTCCCCCGTCCAACGCAGTGTAGGCGAGGTCTCTGGCACAGAGACACGGGGCCAGAGGTTGAGCTGATGCGCGGCGTATCGGACCACAAACGACCACAAAAAATGGGGAGCAGCCGCATGGATCATGGAGGTGCGAGCAACCTCCATGACTAAGCCAATGCGACGCTCAGCAATCCCATTCTGCTGTGGAGAGGCCGGAAGCGTGAACGATTGGACGATGCCCTCCGCACGACAAAAGTCCCGAAGGAGGCCGGAGGAAAACTCACCACCTCTGTCAGAGTGCAGTCGCAGGACCTTGAGGTCCTGCTCAAACCGAGCGCTCAGCTGGCGAAGAACAGCGATGATCCAGTCGATCAAAACACCTCGGACATACGCCTTGCTCCGCAAGGGGAAGACCGTGGTGTAGCGCGTGTAGTCGTCAACAACCAGCAGAAAGTAGCGCTCCTGGTCCTATCCACGGACGCGGGCTGGGCCCCACACGTCTATGTGGAGAGTCTGCAGAGGAGCAGTGGTCGGCGGAAACGAGGAGGAGTGAGGAGCGGCGCGCTGCCGCCCCTCGACGCAGGGAAGACACGGTGGTGCAAGCAAGCGCAGGAGCGGGGGCAGGGATCTGGGGAGGCCAGAGACAAGGAGACGCGAGTGCATGCCACGCAGGCGCGGCAGGGAGGGGTGACCAAGACGGTGGTGCCAGAGGAGAGTCTGGTGCGAGAGTAGCCGGCAATAACAAGACGCAGCTAACTGACCCGACGCAGCCACCTGTGCAGACGCAGCCACCTGTGCAGACGCAGCCACCTGACCTGACGCAGCCACCTGTGCGGACTCAGTGGTCAGTGTGTACAGGCTAGACCCAGGGCTCCGGATGAACATGGCGAGGTGCTCGCCAGTGCGTGAGTCCGAACATATCGCCACACGCTCACCCACAGGAGTAAAGGTACTGACCAACTCGTCCTGGAGGACAGCGTTACTCACCAAGTTCATAGAGAACGAGGGGATGTGGAGACCGGACAGAGAACCGGAGGGGACTGCCGGACAAGGGAGCACAGTGGAGGCTCGTGCAACGACTGGGACCCCAGAGGGGTCAGCCAGAGAGACTGGGACAGGTGCTGTGAGTGGTGTGACTGTGGTGCAATCGCGAAAGAAACAGCGAGATGCGCCTGAGTCAAGTGTGAAGGTGTGCAATGCCTCAGCAGAAGCTGTACCTGCGGCAGCAGGCTCACAAGCACCTAGAGCTGCAGCCTCTATACCAGCAGCGCGCGGCACACACGAGTAACAATCACCCTCAACACTAGCAGCACCAGCATACATAGCATAGATTCCAGCATTGATCTTGGCAAAGTCAAGAGTGAACACATCTACCCCCTTCCCTAGCAACGCTAACCAGTTGGGGGGTGCCACCTCATCTCCGTACTCGGTGCGCCAGGCATCCTCGAGACGACAGAAGCAACGATACTAAGTGTGCCCAGTCTTCCGCAGGGCTCACCAGTCCTGAGACCCGTGCGCCGGACGTACGGGCAACGAACATTGGCCCCAGTGGAGCCATGCTGAACCACCCACTCACGAAGCTCCTGAGGGGTGCGTGGCTCCTGCTGACGTGGCTGCTGCTACTGTCCACCCCCAGTGCCTCCGCCGCCACGAGCTGCACAACCAGTCGCCGCCCCATGGCCTCCGCCCCTACCAGCTCCACCACGACCGCCACCGGAGCCCCCTCCGCCCACTCCACCGCCTCCACCACCCCAGCCACCTCCACTGCCGCCACCACCGCCTCCACCCCCGCCACCACCACCGCCTCCACCCCCACCACCACCATCGCCACCACCCCCGCCACCACCCCCTCCAGTGCCCCCCCCACCACCCTTACCCCCCTTGCCCTTGTTGTTGCGGCGCCTCCCACTAGAAGCAGACGCAGCACCAACCTCCTCAGTACGAAGGAAGTCAACAGCAGCCGCAGTAGCAACGGAGGGCGCGAGAAGGGAGGGAGAACACCCCTCAAAGAAGGGGGAGCGGGGAGTGCCACGGGAGGCAGCGACAGCGACGGAACTGGTCTCGGCCTCGAGGAGATGCTTCTCCAGCAAAGCAAGGGTGATCTCGGTGGGGTCGAGAGCAAGGAAGTGATCCCTAACGGTGCGGAGGGAGTCAGGGAGGCGGGTAACGAGGTAGGAGAGTGTGATGTACATCGGAGGCGGGTTCGCAGCCAGAAAGGCCGGCTTGAGAGCGGCACCTTAGCGAGCGTCACTAGAGCAAAGGTGGGTGAAGAGGTCAGCGACAGTCTGGAACTCAGACAGCTCAGGGTGGAGGTACGGCAGCATGATACGGCCTAGGGCAGCAGACGAGGGGGAGGAGTAACGAGCAACTACAGCGTCACACAGTTCCTTCGCCGTCTTAAGCTGGCTGAAATGGACTCGTTCCTCAGGCGGGAGGGCATTGCGGACAGAAAGGCGGGCGGCAGCATCGCGGGTGAGCCACTGAGTACGAAGAGCACGCGCAGCTGAATCCTCAGGGGCTAGGCAGGTACCGGACACGTGTTCTAACAGTGAAACGTCCTCCCTAGCCTGGCTCTGCAGGTACAGCTGGAGGTCCTTGAGCCAGCAGTCAAACCTAATCGGGCGCCCCTCCGCATCGAAGGCAAGGACATTGAGAGTAGCCATCGTTAGTAGTAGCAGTAGCAGCAGCAGTAGCAGCAGTAGCAGTAGCAGCAGTATCAGCAGTAGCAGCAGTAGCAGCAGTAGCAGCAAAAGCAGCAGTGCGGCAGCAAAAGCAGGTCGGCCAGGCAGCTAAGCAGCGCGGCGCGGTTCGGTAGGGCGGCGCGGCTCGGCAGGGCGGCACGGCTCGGCAGGGCGGCGCGGCTCAGGCGGTGCGGTGCGGCTCGGGCACGGCAGGGCAGTGCAGCGCTGGCAGCAGCAGCAGCTTAGCAGCAGCCGCAGCGTGGGCAGGGCGCGTGCAGGCAGCGCGCTTAGGGCCGCGCGCGGGCTGTGCGGGCAGAGCGCGAGCAGGGCAGGCCTTAAGGGCAGTGCGCAGGCAGCGCCAGCAGCGTGCTGGCAGGGCGCGGACAGGGCGCGCGGTGCGCGGGCAGGGCACCGGCGGTGCAGGCAGCGCGCAGGCTGTGCGCGAGCGAGGCAGGCAGCGCGCGGGCAGGGAAAGCAGCGCGCGGGCAGCAGCAGCAGCGCGCGGGCAGCGCAGGCAGCGTGCGGGCAGGGCGTGCGTAGGCCTCAGGCAGTGCGCGTGCAGGCAGCGCGAGCAGGCCGCGAGCAGGGCAGCGTGCGGGTCGCGCGCTAGGCAGCAAGCGGGCGGCGCGACGGGCAGGGCAGAGCGACCGGGGCAGTGCAAGCAGGGCAGGGCAGTACGGGCAGTTCGTGCAGGGCAGTACGGGCAGATCGGGCAGATCGGGCAGATCGGGCAGATCGGGCAGGTCGAAACTATCGGTGGGCCCTAACGGAGCGGTCCTACGGACGGACCCGCTCTGAATACCATGTCAGAAGTAGGAACGTACGAATGGTGGACTAGGTAGGAAGAGTGAGTACAAGTACTACCTAACCCTAAAGTGTTCTACCCTTTAGGGTATGCCCCACTACAGCCTCAGAGAACAAATACAGTTTGACACAGTGGTACTATTTCCCAGGACCCAAACCATAAGCATTACGGGTTTCCATTTGGGAAACTCACTTCTTAACACATTTTCTTGGGTTTAGCATTAACCATACAAGTTGGATTCCAAGATTCTTAGGAGATTCTAAGTTCTTACTATCGCTTCCAATAGTGGGGATTGTTGCGTTTTGCATGGTGGTTGAGTGTTGTAACTCACACCGTTTGAGTCGAGTGGGAAAAACTGACAGACCACCACGAGGAACGCGCATGTCACGCAGATGTCACCATTTTTTTTCGAGATTGACACGAACTTGGATAGCACGAGCTTTTTGTAAGCCAACTCCATACAATATGATGCAACAAGATACGGTATAAGCATTTACAAATAAGGTAAGGTGCATCTCATTCAGCTGCCGCGAGACATTCAGTACAGAAAGCGAACGAACTGGTACAAAAGGTATTCCTTCCTCATACTACTGAGAACTGAAGGCGCATCTTTTGCTGTCCTCCTTCGACCTTGGGATTCATCTCATGCTGACCATCTCATGCAGCAGCTGCAGCATTCAGCAGAGCATCGTTAGCATCCTGGCTCAGTGCCCAGAAGAACCACCCTCCATAGCCTTGCGTCTTAGCAAACTGGACCTTGGTGGTGATGGTGGAAGGGTCGTCGTAACCAACCCACTGGTCACCATTTACCGCATACATAGAGGATGTTGGGGCGTCGAGCGTAGCTGTGTAACCTCCAGTGGTTACCAGCTGATCGATTTCCCTGTAAAAGAGAACACCAGCTTCCTGTTGGTGGGGTAGAGAGGGAATATGCAGGCCAAGGAAGAGAGTGATGAGAGCCTGCTTGGACCTGATTGCTTAGACTCAGGGAAAAGGGAATAAAGTTGTATTCTGAAAGTGCAAGAGGAAGGAAAAAGTGAAAGTGAAAGAAAAAAAGCCGCAAAAGGCTGGTGATCATGTGAGAGAGGGAGGGAAGCATGCTGAGGAGAAGAAACAGGAAAGGGAAAGAGCTAACCTGACTGATAGACCCAGGCTGACCAGCCCCAGTGGCCGCAGCTCCAACCCCAGTGCTGCTTGTCGAGGCTAGAGTCCAGGTTCGGCCGTACATCGCCAGGCCGAGCATGGCCTTGCTCGGGGCCAAGCCTCGGGACACCCAGGCAGCCATGGCGCCCTTGAGGCTCAGCTGGGGGTTGCTCAGATCCTCCAGAGCAGTGTGCATGCCGGTGATTAACTCCCATGAGCCATGCAGATCGTACGTCATAACATTTACAAAGTCCAGCGCGTTGTTAATTGTCGGGACGTCGTATGATTCATCAATTGTCGGCTCGTAGGCAGAAACTGCTGCAGAGAGCAGGAGCTGGGGGTTCCCAGACGAAGCGGCTTCGGATTCGATCGCCGCCCGGAAATCCGTGAGCAGGGCGGAGAAAAGGGCGGCGTTGCCCGTTGGGAACTCCCAGTCGATATCCAGACCGTCGAAGTTGTACGATCGGGCGAGAGCGATCGCGGATTGGATGAAGGCAGAGCGGGAGGAGGGGGAGGAGGCGGCGTTGACGAAAGTGGTGGTGCCTGCGGAGTAGCCCCCGATGGAGAGGAGGGTCTTGATGGCGGGGTTGGTATCTTTCAGGGCGGAGTTGAAGCGCAGATAGAGACCCTCGGTCACGTCCACTGCTGGGTTGGAGGGGACGACCTGTGAAATGGGAGAGAGAAGGTACGGAATACTGAGTTAAGGATGCACGGAGCATGGTGGGCCTAAGCACGGAGTTGAGGCAGGAAATACGGTGTGACGAGCTTGAGATGGCAGGAAATGGAAGTGGAATGTCTGAATAGTTGCACCAAATGGCACAGAGAAGTGTAAATGGCAAGACAGTACGGTACCTGGTATGTGGTGGGGTCGATGGAAGCAAAGGCGTAGAAGACATGGGTGAGCGTGGCAGCAGGGATGACCGATGGGTCCATGCCCGCCCAGTTGACAAAATAAGCCATGCGATTCAGCTCAGTAGAGGGCGGAGGGGAGTCGGTTGAGGGCGGAGGGGGAGAGGAGGCGGAGGGGGAGCACTGGGATTGGCAGCCAGAGCCGCAGTAATCGGGGGTGGAGCCGCACCAGCCAGACTCGCTGCAGCAGAGGCCGTTCGGGCAGATGCTGTTTCCGTTCGCTGCCCCGCACTGCGAGTTAGTGGACACAGGCGGAGAGGAACCAGACGCAGGGGGAGACGGGGGGGAGCTGCCCGCGCATGGGCCGGATAGGCAGCCAGAGCCGCAGAAATCGGCGGTGGAGCCGCACCATCCCCACTCGCTGCAGCAGAGGTTGTCGGCGCAAAGAGTTGTGGCGGAGCATTGCTGCGCGCGCGCGCGGAGGGGGAGGTGCGCGGACGAGAGCAGCAGCAGCGCGAGTAGGAGGAGGAGGAGCGGAGACCGCGGCGAGGGAAGTGGTACTATGATCGCCATAATTGGAGGGTTGAGCAGACTCGCAATGCTTTTGATGATTAGGAGAAGGGAGCGGTGAGTTACAATGGGGAAGTTGCAATGGGGGAGACTGGTTCGAGTGGTGGTGACTTGTGAGACATGATGGGGCAAGGCTGTGCTATATACTCTGATGGGAGAGCGAGTGGAGAGAGGAGCAGATGGGTTTGACGAGGAGCAGATGGGTTTGAGAGGAAGGCGTTATCCATGGCCAATGCGGTGTAGAGCTATCGGCGATTCGGACCCCTGCAGTCGACGCAAAGGGCTACGGGAATCCGCGTGACTCGGGTGGACTTCGCTCCTCGAACCGCAATTGCGACTCGTCGCATTCGGAGTGTCTACAGCGAGCCCGAATAGTGACTGGTATGAAAAAAGAAAGGAAGACAAAATGCATACGTCGGCTATGGCTGCGACACCCTTGCGCCGCGTGTGTGTGAAAAAGGCCGAAATTGCTACACACGTGCCGCCGACGATAGGATTCCTTCGCGGAAACACCCATGATCCGTGCCGACGTCGCGACTCGAAACGCGACAGCTATTTACGACACAATTATTGCTGCAAGGAAGAACACCGCCGTCACGGACGCCGACCTTTCTCGCACAGACGTTCTGAACAATTATCACTCGGACTGAAGTCTGAAGATTCTAGAATCTAGAAAGTCGGACCGAGTTTGAGTGCTCGTGTTAAGGGGGGATTTACTGTTCCCTTTGAACAGTACTTTCCAACTCACCCTTATCCTTATCTTCCTTGATTTCCTTGTGCCACGTGGCACTCTACTTTTCTTGCTTCTACTTTCTAGTCCCACGAAGTACTTTCCATCATTCTATCTTGCATGCTATATCAAACTTGCTTGTATTCCCCAATATATTAATTCTCCTTCAACTCTTCAATTACTCAGTAACATTTTCGCCTATTTCGCCAATAGTTCTTCCGCCAAAGTCTTCCGCCGCGTTTTCGTCCTCGACTTAGTCGACCCCGCTAATCTTTAGCGGATTTAGGCCAAGGGGCCTAACACTTGGTATCAGAGGCCTTCGCGGGGAGCGACTTCCAACGAGCGACCGTCCACGACGATACTACGACGTCATCGTCCCGCGGTGCCGACTTGCAGACTTGGAGTCGTCGAGCCGACATGGATGAATCCATGACCGCTGTCCCCAACGACATGGGCAACACGCTTGCTCAGCTCATGCGCCAACTCGAAACGTTGACGCTGGAAAATCGTCAAGTACGGGCTGAAATGCAACAGCTTCGTGAATTCGTGTCAATTTCTCATGGTCATGCCGAACCATCTCCTGCACCCAACACGTCGACTGGCGCGGAAGCGCTGCCGGAAAGTCGAAGCGCACTCAAGCCGCAGAAACCCGAGTCGTTCGACCCAAGTCAACGCGACGCGAACGTGCGTACGTGGCTCTTCATGATCAACAACTACTTCGCCGCGAGAGGGGTGCAAGAGACGGACGCGCAGCAGCGGATCGAGTACGCCGTAACGCTGCTGAGGGGCCCGGCCTTGGAGTGGTGGCGCCAACTCACGCAAACTGCTGTAAGAAGTGTCAAACATATATGCTATAGCTTGTTTAGGCTGTAGTGGGGTAGTCACTATGGGGTACAACACTTTAGGGTTTCACTACTTGTACCCAACTTCTTGCTAATGCAATCACTTCTTGTTTCTAGATTCTAACATGGTTTCAGAGCAGTTCCTCCGTTAGGACCGATTTTCTTAGGGCCCACCACGCTGTCACTTCTGACTGCCCCTGACTGCCCTCGCGCCCTCGTGCGCACTGTCCTGCCCGCGCCCTCGTGCGCTCTGCTTTGCCCGCGCCCTCGAGCGCCACCCTAAATCGCGCGCTGCAGCCGATCGCGCACCGCCCGCTAGACGCGCACGCAACCCAGCGCGGCCCCGTGCAGCTCCGCGCGCCGCCCGCTAGCCGCCCACGCCGCCCGCTAGCAGCCCGCGCGGCCCCGTGCAGCCCAGCGCGCAGCCCGCACGCCGCACGCGCAGCCCGCACGCCGCACGCGCAGCCCGCCAGCTGCTTGCGCAGCCCGCTAGCCGCCCGAGCAGCCCCGTGCAGCTTTGCGCGCAGCCCGCTAGCAGCCCGCGCTAGCCGCACGCAGCTCGCGCAGCCCGCTAGCCGCACGCACGCCGTCTGCGGGACCCGCGCGTCGCCCCTGCCTTGTCGCGACGCCCCTGCGGGACCCGCGCGTCGCCCCCCGTCTCGTCGCGACGCCCCTGCGGGACCCGCGCGGAGTCACCCCTGCCCGCCGCGGCGCCCTGCCCTATCCCGCGCCCGCCCTTGGGACGGCCGCCCCTGGCCCCTTGAGCAACCGCCCCTGCAGCAGCCGCCCCTGGCCCCTGGAGCAGCCGCCCCTGGCCCCTGGAGCAGCCGCACCTGCAGCCGCCCCTGGCCCTTGGAGCAGCCGCCCCTGCAGCAGCCGCCCCTGGCCACCTGGAGCAGCCGCCACTACAGGAGCCGCCCCTGGCCCCTGGAGCAGCCGCCCCTGCAGCAGCCGCCCCTGGCCCCTGGAGCAGCTGCCGTCGCGGCCCGGCCCCGCCCTGCAGCATCTGCCGCGGAGCTCCCTGCCGCGGCCCGGCCCCGCCCTGCAGCTGTAACGGCCCCGCTGTCGCCGCCGCCTTGCGCCTGCCCTTCCCACCACTGGTGAGCACTGCCCTGCCTGTGCTGCTACCGCTCCTACTGCTGCTACTGCTTTTACTGCTCCTACTGCTACTGCTCCTGCTGCTACTGCTGTTACTGCCGCTACTGCTGCTACTGCTGCTCCTGGCGTGGTCAGATGCAGCTCCGGGGCCGTCCGCGTGAGTCCCTCACGCCCCAGCAGCTTCGTGAGTGGTACGCTCGTTGGGGTTGTCGGGGTGGCAGTAGTGGGAGTCGCTCTGGAGTGGGTAGTTCGGGAGCTTCTGGTAGTGGCCAGGTGCAGCTGCAGCGTCGTCCCCGCGAGGCTCTTTCGCCCCAGCAGCTTCGTGAGTGGTACGCTCAGAGTAGAGGGTCACTGAGTACTGCTCGCTGCCCGTACGTCATTCGCACAGGTGTCCGGACTGGTCAGCCTTGCGGGACACCTAGTCACACAGAGTCCCACTGCTTCGCCCGTCTGAGCGACGCTTGGCGTACAGAGTTTGGCGACGACGCTGAGCTCCCCTCCTGGCTGGAGCTGCTTAGGCAGAGGGTAGATATCTTTGCTCTTGACTATGATGCTCTCCTCACTGCCATGTATGCATTGTCTACTAGTGCTTAGGGTGCCTGTCACCTGAGTGTGCCGCCTAACCCCGGTATCCAGTCTGCTGCTCTAGGTACTGGTGAGGCTGCCGCACTAGGTGCTCGTGTGTCTGTTGCCTCAGGTGCTGGTGAGGCTGCCGCTCTAGGTGCTAGTGTGTCTGTTGCCCCAGATGCTGGTGAGGCTGCTGCTCTAGGTACTCGTGAGTCTGCGCCCTCTGGTACTGCGTCTACTGAGGCACTGCACACCTTCACACTGGACTCAGATGCTTCCCGCTGTTTCTTTCGTGACCGCACTGCCCTTGAGCAGCTTGCTCGGCCGGTTGCAGTCTCCCTCGCTGACCCCTCTGGGGGTCCGGTCATTGCGACCTCCTCCACTGTCCTCCCTTGTCCTGCGGTCCCGTCGGGCACACTGTCAGGTCTCTACCTCCCCTCGTTCTCTACGAACTTGGTGGCGGGTCGTGTGTCAGAACATATATATAGCTTATGCTGTTGTGTAGACTATAGTGGGGTATCCCATAGGGGGTACAACCCAATTAGGGTTTCCCATATGTACTCACTTCATTCATAGTTCATTCATTCTCGTTCTACTCTTCTCATGGTATCGAGCAGGTTCCCTCGTGGGAACTGTTCCTAGGGCCCACCGTTTTTTTTTTCCTGCCCGGAGCGCACTCTGCCCCTACCCGAGTCGCGCTCCCCTCTCTCTTGGCCCCTAGTGGCCCCTTTAGCCGCCCGTCACGGCCCTTAGACGCCCGCGCGCCGCCCGTCCCGGCCCCTTAGACGCCCGCGCGCCGCCCGTCCCGGCCCCTAGACGCCAGTGCGCCGCCCGGCCCGGCCCCTAGACGCCCGCGCGCCGCCCGTCCCGGCCCCTAGACGCCCGCGCGCCGCCCGTCCCGGCCCCTAGACGCCCGCGCGCCGCCCGTCCCGGCCCCTCGACGCCCGCGCGCCGCCCGTCCCGGCCCCTCGACGCCCGCGCGCCGCCCGTCCCGGCCCCTCGCCGCCCGTGAGCCGCCCGTCCCGGCCCCTCGACGCCCGCGCGCCGCCCGTCCCGGCCCCTAGACGCCCGCGCGCCGCCCGTCCCGGCCCCTCGACGCCCACGCGCCGCCCGTCCCGGCCCCTAGACGCCCGCGCGCCACCCGGACCGACCCCTAGACGCCCGCGCGCCGCCCGTCCCGGCCCCTCGACGCCCGCGCGCCGCCCGTCCCGGCCCCTCGACGCCCGCGCGCCGCCCGTCCCGGCCCCACGCCGCCCTACCTGCGGCCTACTCGCCGCCCTACCTGCGGCTCGCCCGCCGCCCTA